GCAATGTCTTGTACATCAAATTTGCCCTGTAAATATGCAATATTTCTATTTACTGTATATGAATAAATTGTGTTTATGTTTGTGCATTATGCAGTAAATATTGTACACGTTTTAATGTTATAGTAAATGCATTTTCAAGAGTTGTAAATTTTGTACAATTGCTTTAAGTATAAAACTGTTATATGCATTTTTTGACTTATAATTATATTAAAAAATATTAAAATAAATTATATTTTAATATAAAAAAAATATAAGAAATTTAGTTTGAATATTACTGAATTTTGTGTTACAGTAAATTTGACTAAAACTTGTTAAGAAAAAGTCTTGTTTTACAAAAAGAAAATCAGCGGAAAATGTACCCCAAAGTGTGGTTGTTTATGTGGTCCTTTAAAACGGGATTTAATTTCGAATAATGTGACTAGAATTTTTTAATGTAAAAAAATTTGAGGTAAACAGCATTATATTTTAAGTAATTTAAAACACACAGCATGCTTTAGAAATATCTAAGAAAACTGGACTTCTAGCATAAAAATTCTCGAAGGTTTTGTGAAGAAGAGAATACACTTCCTCAAGAGACTGTGGTAGTCCGCTAGTGGGCTTAACGTTTTAAAAGTTACTCTGGTTCATTAGAGACGTTAATCTCAAGAAAGTGATGTATTTAAGACACTGGGCATCAGGGAGAAGGGATCGCGCAAAATAGGTCATTAAGTTAGAGATATGTCATTGCCCTGAGCATTATTCTTTATTTCTTCTCCTTTCTTTTTTCTCATATTAAATTTAAATAAACCAAAATAATTAAAATTATTTACAACTTTTATATTCTATTATAACTTATTGGGCTATCCATAAAAATATGAATAAATTTTTCTTCTGACCTCGGAAAAGAAATCAAATTTTGACCGGGTAATGCATAATATGTACGAGAAATGAAATGGGTAAAAATTTTAATTTAGAATTTGTTTTGTATTGTTCTAAGATTTTTCAATAATAATGCATTTTACTACTAAATTACATATATAATTTTATTTAAATATTAAGTGTTATTAGTCAATATTATTAATTTTCAAATTTCAGTGTATTGTCTACCCCATCTCAACATTAAAAAATATAATTCTTTAAAAATCCGAAAACTTACATTTAACAACGAAAAACTTTTGACATTAAAAGGCACTCATAAACACTATAAAAATGAAATATTGTAAACAACACCGTACATAATATACATTTATATTCGTATACGAACACATACCCATATTTATTATATATATTATAATATTCATAGAGAGCAATAGAATGAAAATTGTGTCTCTTTTCTTGTTATATGCATACTGCAATTTTATGCAATTATAAAAATTTTTGTAATAAAATTTATCCCCAAAAAAACAAAAAAAAAAACTAGTACAAGAAACTGAAGGAATTTTATCATATATTTATATAAATGTATGTAGGTAACCTCATAATGATACGGTAAAAATACTCTTTATATAGATATATTTACAGATTTACTATTTAATTATTTATGGCAACAATTTCATGAATTTCATTAAATTCATCTCTCTTTCTCTCTTTTAAAATGAATATTTTTGCTACTGTTATAATAGTAATTGTTATATATTTTTATTATTATTATTATTATGATTATTTTGATGCTATTTTATTATATTAAAGACTGTGTAGTTTTCCATGTAAACAAACTTAAACCACTATACACAACGAATTATTAAAAATGATGAACTTTTTTTGATATTGCATACTACGTATATACTATGGTAATGTACGAAAAAGCAATGAAAAACTGAAATTTAAATTGAAAAATGGTACGGGGGGAAAGAAGGATTAATTTTCATTTTGTTTTTTCGTTTTTTGTTTTTCGGTGCAAAAATTTCATTTAGTAATTTTATGAGTTCATGTTACAAAAAGAAGGTGAAGAATACACACAGAGAAAAAAAAATTAAATTGTATCAATCGCGAGAATCAGTCAATTAATTAATTAAATTTTTAAAATTTTATGAAAAATATTTGGCACGAACGGCACAGCTACAATTCTTAAGTAATAACTAGATATTGATTAAGTTTTGCCTGGATATTTAACATTTAACTCATTATTAAAGCCAAATATTGTACATAATATTAAAATTTTTTTTCAGTGAATAATAAACTATAAGTTTATTTTATTTTTTATAATTTTTTCATTTTTAAATTTTTCTTTTATAATGCAATAAAATTAACATAATTTTCAGTAAAATCTCATTACTATCGTAATTTAACAATTAAAAATAAGATGAAAATGGCATTTTTTTAGCATTATTGTGAAAGTTTTTCGGTGTTAAAAATTAAATCAATTAACACCCTTAACCTTCGTGCTTTTATCATTGGAAAGAATATGAAAAGTGTAGGAATGGAATTTTTATAAAATCATAAATATTTTAATATAGAAAATTGCAAAAATTAAAATTATTTCCTTTTGAGACTCTTTATACTTTCTGAAGACATCAAAAAATTAATTTAATGGATGGCATTTTTTTTCGGATATCCTTTAAGCATTTTGTTTCAATTATTATACTGATTTAATTTAAGTCTCTTTTAAGAAAAGAAGAAATTGTATTATTCTCCTAATTCAAAGGCTTCTTACTTAATTATAATAATGTTCCATGTAGAACAAGTGGGCTCGTTATGATACCGATGTATTTTCATATTCTCAACCTCCCATGAACCAGCCCGAGTCCCTTACAAATTGGTTAAAATTCATGGCATTTACATTCGTCAGATGCGTAATAAGAGTTACAATTTATCTAACTGCTCTCATTTTTATACTGTTATAAATATAACATAATTTATTATATATTTAAGTGGTTAGAGTAAATGTTTGTAAGATTATAGAAATGTTTCAATGAGAAATATTTAATAAAAAGAATTTCAATTAAATAATTAATGATATTTTAATTGAAATATAACATTTGTTTGTTTTATGAATATTATTTTACATAACACTGTTATAGTCTACAATAACTCAAAACATATCTTAACATAATATTCTATTAAATTCAAGACAAATTAACATTAAATATTTAAAATTATTTAATGTTTTGCATTCTAAATTTATTAAAAATTTAATTATCAAAATAATAAAGAAAATTTTGTAATGGAAATGTGCCTTTTTTTAATTGTGTTAAAATGTACTAATTTTTCTCGTATAATACAAGTACGATAACCTTGTTCTTGAGAAAATAACTTATATTTAATATTAATTTTTTAATGATTCATTGCAGATTGATACTTGAATTTTTATCATTCAAATTACAATAACAAAAAAAAAATGAAAATTTAAATTTTTATCGCTTAAAATCTCATTAAAGAGAATGCTAAAAAAATGTTAATTGATTCTCAACAACAAGAAGAAAAATAAACAAGAAAAAAAATTAACAAAAAACAAAAAATTTATCTTATCATATAAAGTAACTGTTATAATTATTTATGATAATAATTACAGACACAAGCCTCTCTCTCTCTCTTTGAATTTGAAAAATGCAATTCTCTCTCTTAAATTTCGAATTAGTTTGCAATAATGAACCAAATGGTTAACAGGGCGATAAATTAGGCTTAAATTATTTTAAAAAAAATTTTATAATAATTTCATATAAATTCAAGAAAAATCAAGAAAAAACAAAAATGTTTAGAAAAATTTTGATAGCTGTTTTTGTTATTTTTACCAGTTACTTTGTAGGTGGGTAAAATTTTATTTCAAAATTTAAAATTTTAATAGTATAACATAACACAACTGGGCTTGGAAGGCAAGAGTGCTTACACGTTCAATGAAGAAATGGAAGAGACTTCGATGTACCTTTTCCGGTGAGTGTGAAGTGTTGATTCACATAATATGGGAAAGGCAGTCACTTGATGGTTACATCATCACAGTAAAAGAGCTGAGAAGAATCAATCTCTACAAGATACTTGAATTTATCAGAAGGATATACTCTCGATAGCTGCAGGAGCAGAGGGAGAAAGGCGCACAATAGATCCGCTTCTTGGGTCGCTAATTGCATTCTATTATTGTTAAAATTATTAATTATTAAGGTTTAATTTTTTTAAATATTTTGATATATTTTTATTAAATTAATAACTCTACTATTTTCTTCCAATTTAATTTTCTATATAGGCTTGGATGCATTACAATGCTATTCATATTATGGTGAAAATAATGATGATACATCAAAATACTTAAATATAACATGTAATGATGCAAATGCAATCATTACTACATATCTTTTACCAGTATTCTTTCAAAATGTTTTAACAAATTCTACACGCAATCAATTTTTATGTATGTCATTTGCATATAAAAATCCAATAAATAATAATGCTAAAAATATGGTATATAAAGGCTGTACCTATAATGTTAAACATTGTGGATTAAAATTAAAAGATGAATATAAAGATATGGTGATTCATCATTGTAAACAATGTAATAGTGATCGATGCACATAATTAAATTGAGAATAAGTTCAGCTGCCGAATTAAATTATTGTGAATTGTGATTGTTAAAAAAGTGTTAAATTAAAATTTTAATTATAAATAAATTATTATTGTTCAATAGAAAATTTAATTGTATTTTTGTGTATACAGTATTGTAAGTAATCATTCTATGTGTTTGTAATCAATGATAATATCGAATATTAAGTCGGGTTTTACAATTTCAAGGATTGAACTTGCATTATTTTGCAGACGGATGAAGAGCTTCAATGTGCCTCCGATAATGCGTATTATTTTTTAATATTTAACATTAACTGTTAATATAACAACTGAGAACTAATTGCAATTAACAAATTATCTATAGAACAGTTAAATTTTCGTTGTATAACAGATTCTCATTATAATAGGGGTAATTATTTTATTATTATACGAGTATATACTTGGATTTCTGAATAATTTTTCATAAAATATTCATTATAATTAATTTATATAAAATATAGATAAATAATAATTTTATTTTAAATACTTACTGTATAATCGTATTGAACTATCTGTTTCACCTCTTGGATTTTTTGCAACACATTTATACATTCCATCATCACCTGCATTAACATTAATAATTGTTAATTTCATATGTGTTTTATATGCTGGAGCACCGACTATCGATTCAACTCTACATACATATATAAAACATAATGGAGGAAAAAAAATATAGAAATTTAATATTAGAAATTGTTATGTAAGGTAAGTATATAAATATATTATAGAAGTAACGAGCACAAAATAAAAAAATAATGAAGAAAAAATCATAATATTGGAAGTAATAAGGAAAAAAATAACATTCGTTAAGGAATTTCCGGTCTTTCAGGAATTTTTTTTTCTTAATAATAAAAAAAAAAGTTCAAATGAAAAGTTTCAAAAGTTCAAATCAAAAAAATAAAATGTTATATAAAATTATATAAGAATTGTTAGAATTATTAGAATGGTCAAAGTAAATCAATTCACAATTTAATAGAATATAGAAAAAGAAATAAGAAAAATTAAATGAAAATCAAAAATATTGTATTAAATAACAAGAGAAATTTAACACGAATACCGGATATTGAAGTGTCAAAAGTTTTCCTAGACGCAAACTTCTGTATATATACTACCATCAAAATACTTATATAACAGTGGCACATTTATATACAGTTAACAGATCTATTGATAATCAATATAATTTTCCTATTTATAGTTAAGTATAAACACAGTCTACCTGTGTACGTGTTCATTACAAAAATTTAAGATTTTTATCTTCTCATTTATTTGCAAAAAAATAAAAATAAATAAGTATTGTACATTATATAATAAGAGGAAATATATTTAATTTTTCTCTTTTCTTTCTCTCTATAACAATTTTCATTCAGAAAATTAACTTTAAAAGGTAAATTGGTATATAAAAAGTTCAAAGATTTTTCAAACTCTCTATATACTTATTTTTTATTTATCTATATTTAAAAATATATATGTACTTTTGAAATAGAAAAAAATGAACAAAATTTTTTAATGAACTCACTTGTATTTATTGGAATCATGAATAATTGGTCCATCACCTCTTGTCCAATAATTTAATGATGTTGGATGTGCTTCTGTAAAACATTCTATAGTTACATTGAAACCTTCTGGTGCTCCAACTAATTGATGTGGTATTAATAACATAGGTGGAACTATAATAGAATATAAAAATTTAGAAAAAAATTTAATTAAATTTTAAAATTTGAATTTTGTTAAGAAGTAAATTTAATTATAGCATATTAAGAATTCGCTTAATAAATTTTTGTTTGCCTCATTAATATTTTGCCACACTAGAATTAAAATTAATTGGTTGATTTGTGTTACAAGACAAAATTATCGGCTTGAATGCAGAATGCATGGAATATATTTTGACTATACGCTATCGCCTTCTTGTAAAAATTCAATAATGGGACTGATTCTGAGAATTGCCTGGTAAAATCAATTGAAAAATGAAAAAAAAATGGTAAAAATTTAAAAAACATTTATTCGAAATCAATAAAATGTGTAACAAATTTTGACTAACTATTAACTGAAATCTTTTGATTGTTGAGTGTAAATAGCCGAGGGTCCTCCACTACAATTTTATTATTGATTTCTCAATTGATTTTCAAGATGGTATTGTTGTTCAATTGTTGAGTGTAAATAGCAGAGGGTCGTCCACTACAATTTTATTATTGATTTCTCAATTGATTTTCAAGACGACAATTCATATTATGCTGATGCCAAATTATTTATAGTTCATAAAATTAAATTTTTATTCCTCATTTCTTTCAAAAATTTTATTCTCAATACAATTCTTAATCAAGTTGCAATTCTCTAAATAAATGAGTAGACAATATTTTGCTTCTAACAAGGACATTCGGATTTTTTTAAATTTGCATTTTTTCTCTTCCATTTCAATCTATTTTATTATTTAAATGTTCATCCTTTATTTTACTTAATTTATTAAAAATTTTTGTTAACAGGATAGCATTATTATAGCATTGTTATTGTTTCTATAACAGCAGATTTTTGTCAACATTATTTTTCTCTCAAATTTTATAATTGTTTTATAAAGTTTACCACAATGGCGTTGTTATTCTTTAGTGTTACATGTTGAATTTTAAAATTGTAAGAGAGAATAATGTAAGTGCTAAAGTGGTGTAGAAATTAAAATTTTTTTTTTGTTGACTTCTCTTAATAGACTTAATTATTTTTTTTGAGACAAAAACCAGAAGAATTTCTTATTTTTTAATGCAATTTGAAAATAATTTGTTTTTTTATATTTTTTTTTTCATTATAAAAATCCTTAAAAACACAATGTGGCTAACAAAATATTTTTGTAATTTTACCAAAAAAGTATGACTGTAATAAAGAGACAAGAGAGAGGAAAAAATAAAATTCAAGACAATAACAAAAGAGAAAATTCTAAATTGAAACTTTTTTTCCAAAAAATGTTCGAGAGACAAGTGAGTGCTTTATGCAATTTACTCAAAAATAAAACATTTATAAAAAAAGAAGAGAAAAATACTTTTTGGTATTCTATGGTTTAAAGGATAATTTATTTTTGTTTTCTATCTTAAATGCTATACTCTGGAAGATTTAACCTGATGGGACCTTTAATTTTTTTTTTGGTAAAGTAGAAATTTTTTATTTTATTTTTTCGGTTCAATTTGTAAGTATTATGTAATTTGTAAGTACAAGTTGCGATGACAAAATTTTAAAATATTTCGGTTCCTACTAAGATTGCTATTTTTCGCATTCATCAAAATCAACTTGAAATCTAATTAATGTTTCCTGGGGTTGAGCTTCTTGGAATTCAATAATTAAAATTTAACAGTGATTTTAAATTAAATTGAAAATTTGATTAAGTTTTTTTAGGCTGATTTTTCTGTCAGGATTACTTTGAAATTTCTACCAAACATTTGAACAGTTGTAGGGATTTGTAGTTTTAGGAGTTGTAGGGATCTTCCATTTTACGCCACCACTACTAATATTGTTATCAACGTAGTTTTAAATTCATAATATACTCGAAACATGGACAATAACAATACAACTACATTTTTTTTTATTGTTTATTATGACTGAACTTTGTAAAATGTCCAAGTTCACTTAAAAGTAAATCTTTGTTCAAAAAAAATATTTTTGACGCTAATTAGTGCGGGAAGTTAAAAATAGAATTTAAAAACAAAAATTTAATCATTTTTTTGTACATTAAATAATGTAGAATAAAAAAGGGTATTTCTGATAGAAGGTGAATTTATTGAAAAGAGTTTGTCTAGCTATTATTCTGGCGCACGTCTGAACAAGGTACTTTTAATTACTATAGTTTAGAAATCATATTATTATTTATCAAAATTTTTATTTATCACTATAATTTTAAAGAGAGCATTCAGTCAAAAATTTAAGTGTTATTTTAAGAAAAATTGGGAAATTTTTTAATTTTTTTCACAGTTTCGGAACTAGAGTAGGCTAAAACCTGGATTAAAATTTGACGGAATATGAATGAAGTATGAAGAATTCGAATTGTAGTAAAAATTAAAACTGTAAGAATTCTTTTGTCGTAAAACAATGGATTTATTTAAGGAAATGTTATATTGGAAAACTGCAGGCAATAATAATTTAAATTAGCAAGAAAAATCAAATATTTTTGTCTATATATAGATTAAAATTATTCATTTCTGTCAATGCGATATGATAAAATTTTTTTTTTAATATTTTTTTGTAAAAAGTTTTAGGACGATAATTTATATTTGCGAAAATTGCATAGTTTTCGGGTAAACCCGAAATCTGCTTGCTTTGTATGAAAGAAAAAAAGCGATGAACATTTTGAAGCGATTTCTCAAATGAAATTGAAATTTTATATTGAGAGCACCGTAACAGGTTCCTGGGCTATACATATTTGTATTAGTATCTTCCTTGAGGGATATAGGCATACAATAACAAAATTATTAAAGCGGTCTGCATTAACATTCAACTATGTTTGTTATTTTTGCAAAGAATCTCTTTTTCTATTTAAAAAATTTGCAAGAAACTAAATAGATTCAAAATAAAGATTACATTGTAGTTATATACAATAGGAATTGCTCACAGACACAGTCTATAAGGAAGAATAAAATTTCCATGACAAGTTAAAAAGTTAAATGGCATTCATTTTTTGTGTTTTGCAATGGAAAATTCTTTTCTTCACAAATTTTGTTTTTTATTTTCTTTAAATAAAAGAAAAAAGATGGAAATATTTTTCAAGATTAATTAGTCCTATTACGTAGACCGTAATAATGGATGAGGGTTAATTTAAAAAAAAAACTAGACATAAACATACCGCGTAAGCACACATACATAAGCGCACATTATTGTTATTTTTGAAATATCTAACTGGACCTTTTTCTTTACCAATTATCTTGTTAAAGTAAAAGCGGATGTTTTTATTGTCTCCTGTTTTTAAATTTTGCCAATTTTTAATATTATTTTAATTTTTTAGTAAAATGAAGTAAAAGGATAATATAATTTTCCATTTTAGACTTAGAAGAAAATGTGGCAAATTTAATAAAATAACATTTTAAAAGAGTTTTAAAGTGCAGTAATAAGAACAGGCTAATCAAATAGATACTGAGACAAGTACGTCAGTTAAAATTCAAACTTAAAATCAACTTCATTTATCTAGTAATACAATTTTTATTATAGACTTTAGATCTACATTTTAGTAGACGTTACAAGTTGCAAAATTTGAATTCCCTACTTTTTTTAGGCATATTTTTTACGATTTAATCAACTTTATCTGTTGAGAAGATTAGAGTACGAGAAATATAAAAATTTGTATTTGCAGTTGCGGTTATTCTCCTTTGAACAGAAAGAGGTTTCGAAAAACTTCGTTTCGATGACTCAGTTTCGATAACTAGATTAAAAGCATGTTAAGTATTAAAGATAACTCTTAAGGACCACGAATTTTTTTAAAATATTCGTTCTAAATGCCAAATTTTTGTTGATTTAATTAGAAGCTATTCTAACCATCCGATTTTGTATATCTCTTCAGGGATTGTGTTTGTTTTCACAAAATTCAGAGAAATTCTTTCTGAGATAAACATTCTTTTCTAAAATATCAAATTAATTTTATAATTTTGTTATTTACTTGTAAAATAATAAACAACATTCTTAATCATTATCATGTCATATAATAAAAATGATTTTTCTGTCTTTACTCAAATCATCAAAAATATCACCTTTTCAACATCATCAATAATATTATATGATTATTAACATTATATAATCATTATCATTATCAATAATGTCAACATTTATACTATATTATTATACAAACACACTCACATATTATATACAAAATTTTACTAAAAAAGACTTTTCTTATATGTATACGAATTAGATGGAGTTATAGTATAGTTGATGATAGCTTATGCTATTCTTTGAAGTTGAATCTGATAAAATGAATACGGAAATTTGTTGATATTTTAAAAGGAAATAAGACTGACAGGATATCAACGTTTATATGGTATAAAAGGACAAAAAAAACAAAATATGTTGTTAATGCTTTTGTTTTGGTTTCTTTGTACATTATTGTAAACTTCTTTATATAGTGGGACTTTAGATTCTATTGAACGTCGAGTTCTTTTATAATATTTCGAGCTATATGAATATTTATATACGTTAGTACGAAATATTTTTTTATAATAAATTTTGAAACTAATGTATATATAGGGTATGTGATACCAAATGATGAGTACTTAGTAGTTATTGGACATAATCCTGATAAAAATTTATAATAAATACCTTCCGTGTTTTAAAATCAGAGGTGTGTTTTATATTTTAGGAAAAAAAATCTTGACGATTCAGTATCATTGTTTTAAAAGTGTTTTTATGCCATCAACATTTGATGGGAGTAATTGGCGTTCTAACTATGCACTTGCTATGATGAACTTGAATAAAATTAGCGAGTTTAATGACATTTGTAGTTTTTACCAAAACGAGAAAAGACGGGATAAATATCACTATTGTGAGGAAGTCACCCACTAACACCTCAAAAGCTTTCGAAGGACTCCATTGCAAATATCTCGAATTAATATAGATGTATTATGATTGCAATAAATTTTTTAAATGGTTAGAAATCGTGCTTCATATTGCTAAATATTAAAAATAGCGTAAAAAGTCCTATTAGCCA